CGAGCCGTGGTTAGTGCCAAGCAAAGCCTGTTCGTTGGTTGTGGCTTGTCGTAATGGCTTGTCGTAAACGATCGTAAATTTTTAGCCGGAACAATATTTTTCTCTCACTCAAACCAGCCAGCAGTACTTCTTCACGATCTATCTAAAGATATTAATGTCATAGCATAAATATTAATATTAATATATATATATATTTATTTAGTTAAAGTTGTTTCTGGAAAGTAAAAACAACGGTTATTTAGGGACGGATGAAGTATATACCTAAAAGACGATTTAGGGGAAAGAGGAAAGAAATAGAAAGAAGGTAGGGTTCCAGCTGAGGAAGGGTTAATGTTATTTAAAAATAGTTTATGGTTCTAAAATAATAAATGGAGTAAAGGCTCTGTTTTTTTTTGGTAATACCACGTGAGACAACAATAGAAAACACACTCTCAGAAATGCTACTCACTGTGCATCTATGATTATGGCCCAATTGGCATGATGCATGATGCCACTGGTACGGTGCATGATGCATGCATGGCATGCGGTGTCAGCGTTGTGTACGACGGATCGGTGGAGGAGGTGTCGCGAGCAAGACAAGGATTAAAGGTAAGCCAATCATACAGCTGTATGCTACGGCCGCATTAACGGCTGCCCCGATCGCTAGCTATGGCCTGTGTCAGCAGGCCGCGGCCCTGGTCCTGGTGCTGCTGGGCTGCTGCCTGCTGCTCTTCCTCTGCCTCTGACCCTTCAGATTTTACACACTGTAGTTCGGGGGCCGTACTATCGTGTAGTATTGTGTTTGTCCCTTTGTTATACAAATATTGTTGCCGTATTGCACATTGACATCTGCATATATTGTAACAAACGTGCATCATGTTGTATGATCATAATAAGACTCATATAATTAGCTACCTAGGAGTATCTCATTAGATTTCACTGGAATTGGTCCAACTTATTTTGATTAAATCATATGGCACGTAATAAATGCTACTTGCAATAAAAGATTAATCTTATATATGAAAATTATCGGAAGATTGACTCGCCTTAAATAGGCGGTTACTGTAGGGATCCAGTCATCATGCAATGTACGGAGTACGCCTAGCTAGTTTGCACAGCAGTGCTACGTACGGGTACGAGTGCTTTAATTGTATCTATAACGTGCAGTAACAGACCAACAGTAGTTGTACTAGTATACTGTATATATATTCTTGTGGTAGGAGTATCGTGCATGGCCATGGGTACGCCCGCCTGCTGCCTCTGCACCTTGCATGTGCACGCACCGACGCCCGGCACCCCTCCCGCATGCGTGCTTCCGGCGTGCGCTGCCATGCATGCGTGCATGCTAAAGCTGCCGCGCCGCCAAGGTGTCCGCGTTCGTCTCCCCTCTTTGCTAGCCGAGCCGGAAGTCCGGCACGCGCACGCCTCCAGCCCCGTGTCGCCACGTGTCGCCGGCTGGTGCGGCGGCCGGGAGCAAGAGAAGCAGGTGAGGTTTTTGACGCCAGCGTCCCGCCCGATTCCGGGCAGAGACGGTGAACAGTGAAAGAAGCCCACAGGTCTGAGGTCTCGTAGAAAGATGGGCTTGTCTGCCCCCTCCCAGCCGCAACCAATCCCGTGGCTTTTCCTTTAAGCTGGACGGTCCGTCCATGGCAGTGGGCAGTGGCGGCCCAGCCCAGCCCATCTTTTAAGAGACGAATCTTGCACCATCGGCTCTGGCCCAATATCGAGCCACGTTGCAGCCCCATATCCAGCCACGTTGCCTCGTATTCTCAGCCGTTGGATCCCAGTACAGAGTTTGATGCGGCTGGGCTCTTCGCGAATCGTCTTCCTCGCGCCTCCCGCCGCCGCCGCCGACGCCGCCGCCACCCCCGAGTCAACGACGTGGCTCAGGAAGGACACCGCTGTGAACTGGCGCGACGCGACTCGCGAGCACAGCCAGCGGGCCAGGCAAGGGCGCCGCGGCAACCCAACAGCATGTCAGCCCACCGCCTCCCTGCTCGCATCAGCGAGGTGCGCCGTCCTCTGTGTCGCAGCTGCAGCAATTGCTGCCTCCCTGCCTGTAGCGGCAGCCGCGGAGGCGAGCGCCGCTCCCACCGTGATTGGCGTCTGCTTTGTGGTGTCCAGCGCTGTCCCGGAGACGAAGGGCGGGGACAGTGCGTAGGCAAGCGCATTGGAGCTTGGAGGCACTGGCGAGGATGTCTTCCAGCTTGCTACTGCAGTCGCAGAGTCGAGCATATCCTCGTCTTCAGGCAATAGCGAGTGGCTACGACCCGCCCTCCATCGCAGAATGCTGGTAGGGCCGCCAGCACCAGGGCAATCGGCCAGTGAGAAGACGAGGCAGAGTCAGCACTCAAGGGGCACGGCCACATGCCACAGCCCACCAGCGAGGCGACACAGCAGGGACGCGGTCCACCGGTGAGCAGGCGCTGGCACGGCCAACTGAAGGCACGTTAAGCGGCCGCTAACGCGCTCTGCTTGGACCACGGCGCTGGAGCAAGGGGACGTGGGGCACCGGCGACGGCACCTGGTGCTGGGCACGTCACGGCACGTTCTGAGCCAGTGCAGTGAGCTCGGCTTGGTCCATTCTCCTGCAACGGCCAACTCCAGGCCGTGCTGCTCCTCTCTCTGCCGAGGCGGCTGGGAGGCCAGAATGAGATGTTCCCGAGCCGTCCATGGCTGCTACATCCTTGGTCAGTAGGCATGGGCAAGCTGGCGCTCCTCTCCGCCAACAACCGCGAGGCAGCGGCTTGACTGGCAACGCGCTGGGAGCCAACGCTCTCATACTACAGCATTGTCACAATGTGGGTGCACACTACCTGTTTGATGTAATGCTGCCCCCAACGCTGGAGAAGAAGGCTGCAAAGAGCTAAGCGCCAATATCCGCACCAAAATTAGGGACATCCGTAAGCCGGCGTCCCTTGTCGCTTAACTGCTATGGTAGGGTTCCTCAACACCATCTTCATTGGCAAGCATGCCCCGTCGATGCTGTAGTCGGTGCCACAGGAGCACCACGGTCACAACCTCATATTTTCTATATTCTATGCCCCAGTCTATACAATATTGAACCCAATAGTCATAATTTACCCATAAGTTCAATTTATACTGACAATTTTTTCCATATCCCATAATCACACTCCTGTCACTTTGCTCCTTGTGTCAGCTCCTTGTGGCAGCATGTTATCAGTACAGCCACATCTCTTTCAGTTTTCATTTCTCCTTCTGGCTCTGTTTCTATCATCCCATTTTTCACACTATTACTAATAGCTATATTGGTTTCAAAGGAAAATGATGGACTTTTCCCATTGCAACATTGTGCAATATTACTAAAGCCATTTTACTAATGCTTCAGCAATTTGGCGCAAGTGAAGAATCAAAATTTCAGACATTCTGCAAGCTGCTTAACTAAAAAGACAAGCAATCAATAAACCGCCTCGCAAGTTTAGCACCTCATTATGAAATGTCGAAGACAATTAGATCAAACTCATGCTGCCAACAGTTTTGTGGTTGATCATAGCATGTTCTCACCTGAAAGTTATGACTGCCAGGACAGTTACCAGTTAATGTTTCTACGCTGTAGATAGTTGATACGTTGCATCTTTATATAGCTAAAAGTTGGTGGCGAATATAAGGAAAATTCAGTCCACGAGACAATACATATTGTGCTGTTAGGTTTGATTATGGCTTTGTTCGGCTGGCTGGAAAAATGGCTGATGCTGATCTTGATTTGGTGTGAGAGAAAAACACTGTTTTTTCACTGAAACGGTACGGCTGATAAATTCAAGCGAACAGGGCATATGTATGGCAATCATATTCAACCTTATACATAGATTGAGATAATGCCATGTCCCAACGTCCTTCCCTGCTACTAGCTTCTGTACACTCAAAGTTAGATCTTAGAAGTAAACTTCCATTTTCAAAATTTGCAATATTATAGACCTCAGGCCAAAATTCTGCCTTGTATGCCAAAGTACTACTATCCAGATGCTCTGTTTTGTGTTACGAACTTGAGCTTCTTCTTCATTAGCAATGCTTTAATAGGCATTTGCAACTGTTTTTTAATTCAATTGCGTATTTAGCTTTTGGAATGAGCTGACGGTGTTTCTAGTACACGCAAATTATTGGTGCCAGCGCCAAAGCCAATCAAGGGGAGTGTGCACACTGCACGCACAGCAAGTGCCACAGTCCAACGACGGTGATCCAAAATACAAGATTTATTTGTTCTTAGATAACATTATAGACAAAGGTTTTGATACTTATTTTTATCTTTTCCAATAACAAGATTCAAAGGACAACTTTTTTTTGTAAATGAGTCTCCAAAAGAGAAGATACTTAGATTTGAATTATGTCTCTCCTGACATTAAAATAGGTCTTCACACTCTGTTAGAGGTCGTAGCTATCGTGTAAGGTTCCACGGTGCGTCTCCGGAGACAGCCGACAGACGGTTGCGTGATCCGAGTTCCGACACTATTTCCGCACAGTTGCGCCCGTGCTGCTACAGGTTTGCTTCCCCCGGTCCCTACTACTACCCTAAACCCTTTCTCAAATCTCAAGCATGCTCAACTGGCACTCTGGCAGCGCATCTTGTTTGGGGGTGTTCTTGGGCAAACAAGAGAGCGTCACTGCCGACGGATTCAGCTCAGGGAACTCATGCCCATTCAACCTTTTACTTCCTCCCTCCGTTTTTATTTGAATATAAATCAATTCTCAAAATTATCTTAGATCAAACATTCTTAAATTTAACTATATTTATAGAAAAAAGCATTAAAATTTATGATATTAAATTAGTATCATTAGATGTACTATAAAATATATTCTCAATACATATATTTTATGTCATAACTCGGCTAAATATATTCTCATAGTATCTATGGACTTTTTAATAAACTCGGTTAAATATACACAACTCTAGAAACATTGATTTATTCGAGAACAAAGGCAAAGAGTACTTCTTGTTACAACACAGCAGCGCCAAAGCCAATCAAGGGGAGTGTGCACACTGCACGCACAGATTAAAAAGAAAGTCAGTATTGTGAAGACCAATCGGCAGCGCTGCCGACCCTTGGAATGCTGGTCTCCTTCTTGGCGCTTGCATCGACCGTGTACGTCATGCCGCACACCTCGCCCTTGCTGTCCACCATCGGCACCGGCTTCACCTCGTTCATCGGGTGCTCGTAGCTCTTCAGCCCTCCGGACGTCGTGAAGAAGAAGCCTGATGCAGTGCAGCCATCGAGCGCCAGGCGTCAGCGGCGAGAACAGAGTGCAGAGTGACAAGAATCACTACTTCTGCTCGTTTGGTTTTTTTTTTGTTCTGCTTACATTTGGGGAACGGGGCAGAGGATTTTCCACAGGCCTTCTTCACAAGCTCAGCGACGTCAGAGACCACAAGACGGCCATCGGTATCGACGCCCCAGTAGAATGGGACGTTGCCATCGGAATCCTGTAATGAGGTCATGGTTCATGAACACGAGCTATCAGTTGCCTATCCATACCAGTGATAACATTTATACGTAGTAGCCAACGATCAAATTGATCATGTATAAATGAACAATGCACAGCTGTATCTGTTCGTTAAATGTAGGATGCTGACATGAAGATGTTAGACAGAAGCATCAAGAACATCCATTTTAGTGAAATATTGATAGTGATGTTGTTGTTCTTATTAAAGCTGAAAACTCAAACATTGACAAATGCAACGTAGATTATCATGATCACGAACAGACTTGGCTGGTTTTATAGAAGTACAGATCTCAATTTTTTACTTAAACAAATGTAACAGCACCCAGACTGGTGTCAATCAGCAGGAATTTGATTTGATGCTCCTGATCCTGCATAAGCACTCTATGATTCAATAATCTGCTGGAAAATGGCATTGCCACAGCAACCTGAAGCAAAACCTTGAACTGTATATGTGTGACTCCAATTCTATGTGGATCCCAAGACGAATTGAGTTTTCATCCGCATTGTGTACTAGTTCAACATAGAGCAACCAGAATACCACTAGGCACAATCTTTTTTGAAAAGAATAACACCATTGACTAATTAATTGATAAAATGTCTGCTCATAAGATGTGAATAATAGCAAGAGCAAAAAAAAAAAAAAAACTTAGCTACAATATCGGAGTAGTTCACTTACAGCCGCCATGAAGACCGACTTAGTCGAGCAATCATACAGAACAAATGCAAATTCCCCACTTATGTCTCTCACAACTTGATCTGCAGGATAAGGACCCCTGTCCCTCAAGGTCCTGTAAGCCTCAATGATGATGTTGACCTCATTAGCGCCTTTACTTAATCCATACTGCTGCTTGAGGACAGCAACGTTCACAATTGTGCCCTGGAACATGCAGAATATGTCATCCACCGCTCCAAACAACCTGCAACCACAAACGATTTGGTTGAGAACGAGGTACGGCATATACCACTGACCACGTTAGGCTAATGCAACAACAATTCAGTTCGCAAAAAAAAAAAAAAAAAAAAATGCAACTACAATTCAGTCAGGGCCTGACAGAGTTTATAAGAAAACTGCTCGTAATGAGTAGCATAGCAGTGTCCTATCTGTAGTTCAGAAATAAACTAACAAGGAAACGGGTCTGATCTGATGATTGGCTAGTGAGGATGTACTGATGAAGCATCGGCAGATTTGTTGCTTGTTGACTAGTTTCTGAATCCGTGAGAATGCGATCATATATAGACGTAAATGTCTGACCAAATAGTGAAAATGCTATCAAGGGCACTAATTCAGTTGAAGCAGAGGATGACATGCTGGGAGATAAACAAGCGATTCTTAATCTCGCAGGATTGTCAGTTACGCGACAGAAAAATCAGTAAAACGAGGATTAGAGAGCACACATTCTGCACAGACACCACTACCATGTAGGGTATGAATGAACACAACAGCGCGGCGAGGATGATCCTCAACCCGTCAACCGAGACAATACAAAAGCAAGCTCGGCTCACCTGGGGAGAAGGGGGCTCTGGTTGCTGGAGGAGTACGCCATGGCGCCGGACCCGCCAAGGTTGACGGTGACCGCGTCGGGGCGCGCCTCTCTGAACCGATCCGTGAGGCCAGCCGCGCTATCGCCTCCCGCGGCGCCCGGCTGCCGCAGCCCCTCCGGGCTCGGCGCCACCGACGGATCGAACACCGCCAGCATCTCCGCGCAAAGCCCCCCGCCCAAAGCTGCGAAGCGATCCGCGCGTCTCCCTCGCTCTCCTTTACGTCGTACGCTCCCGCTGCCACGCGCCGCGAGCTTGCCAATCGCCACAAGCGTTTCGATCGAGATGATATTGACGACGAGCGGATTGGTGGCGGGCTTATATTGCGGTGCGTGCGTGCGCGGCTCGGGGAAGGTGGGAGAAGGATCGGGACTGATCCACACGGTGCCGCGGGGCCCGCGGCACACCTGTCGCGGCCGAGTCACCGGCCGCCGCGCACTCGTCGGGCGCGGAGAGGATAAAGACAAACGGGTAAATAGCAATTCCCTTTTTCTTTTTTTTTATCGCAATTCCCTTTTTCTTTAGAAAAAAGAGAGAACCAACGGGAAAGTGGGATTCGCATTGGCTATTCTCTCTTTTTTTTTAAAAAAAATACACAGTACAACGCCCATACACATGCACATACACTCATGCGAACACACGTATGTAAAACCTACCAACCTTCACATCGGTTATTCTCTATCTCGAACTCGAAAAATGATTTAATGGTCGGGGAAGATGGAAACATTTTCAGTTGTGGAGGCCCATCTCAGGAATGGGCCCATTGTAGTCATGTCTTCTTGCATAGTAGTACTACTTTGAAGTTTGATCTATATAAAAAAAACTCTGAATTTTGAATGGCCAGCATCAAATATGAAAGGAGAGGGCCCACAGGGCAGGGGGGACTACTAGCATGAATCAACTCCCTCAAGAAAAAGTAGCATCAAACATAGTACTCTCATCAGAAAAAGAAAAGCATCGAACTGAAGTCCAATAAATTTCGATTTATTTTTGCTAGTCCTTTGGCTACCGATTGGGGTAAGAATAAAAACTACGGTGCCATATTAAGCGTCTTTGGCAGACAAACGCTCTACATTTCACAAGTTGAAAACAAGTTTTGCATGCAAACAAATCACCGGGCACTGGCACCGACCAACCTAGTACAGTAGTACATACATGTGTAACAGTGTAAGATCGTCTTCCAATCAACTTTGGAGGAGGTAAGAATTCCAGCAGCACGACCACTTCGGATCACTAGCAAAGCAGAGCATCTCATGATCACAGCTTCCCACGGCAACGAGAAAACCAGGTCCAGAAGGAAAGGCAACGTAACATAAGGCCCTGTTCGGATGTTTTGCAATATTTTACACCTGTGACCGGCTTCCGTTTGGAATTTATAGTGCACAAGAATTTACAAGTGTGACTTAATTCTCTTGTAAAATATTATCCTGCTACTTGGGAATGAATAGAACACATGCATGTGCATGCCGCATGCGTCATGCATGGGTAAGAGTAAGCGCGTGTCAGCCTACTTCACAGACACCTGTACGTAAAACTCTTTTATTTTTTTCTTAATTGAGAGACAGAGCTCTTGCCATTCGTTTAAAAAAAAAACCTACTTCACAGACAGCGTGCTTCGCGACACCGCCCAAGAGACATGCACCATGCGAGTGAAGCCAGAAGAGCGCAGCGCAGCCCGACATCCGTCGCATTTTTTCTCGGGACTCAGGAGGAGATTTTATTTTTTTTCGGTTGGAATAGATGAAACCGAGTGTATTTAAATTATTATCTTCACAAGCCATCCAAACAGCTTTTTCAACGCAGCGGGTATAAGTTTTCAGGACGGTGATTTACACCTGTTTTGTTCCTAAAACAAGGCTTCCAAACAGGCCGTAAACAAAGACAATGATGTGGAAATACGACGATAAATATGTTATATACAGACTAAAGGTGCACATGATAGGTTACTATAGATCAGCAGACATAAAAGGATCACTTTTACATATATACAAGCTATCTGGTCTTTCCCTACAATCTCATAGTGGCAGCTTGGCAGGCCACTGCGCTGTACCAGCGCTGCGACTAGTTAGAACAGATACACTGATAGCCTGCAGGCAACATAACCTTGTTGTTTGCACAAACAGTGTCCACGGTAAAAGGGTCGGGAAGTCGGCCAGAAGAAAACAAACTATGGTATCTCTGGATACCATAGGAACATCTTAATCCAAATACTTCCATCCGCATGCTGAACAGACTGTATTAACAACCGCAGCCGATATAGTGTCTCATTGATCGAAGGGTCAAGTACAAAACAGTGATATACGAGCATAAAAGATACTCGGAGCCATTGTGATAAAACTAAAGCCGCTGATGTCTGGGTCCATGTTCTTTCAGTCGAGGCAGGCTACCTTCTGAGACTACATCTTCATATCATCGTGACCAACTGCATTACCTGCATCAGCACCAAGTCCCCCCTCATGTAGAAGGTCCTCCCAGAAATCATCATTTAACTCTGCACTTGGCCTGCCATTAAGACGCTCAGAGCCACCGGAAGAAACACCTTGTTGGATCTCGAAACCCTTTGCCTCAACAGATGAACTCTCCAGATCAGATGGCACACCATTGGCAAGTGATTCCACCAGCTCCAGCGGTTCAAACACTGCCTGAGACCCTTGCTCCAGGCTAGAACCAGTGCCCATGCTATCAGCTTCAGGTCCCTGATCAATGCGGCGCCTTCTTTTCTTTGAGATGGCATCCTCAAGCCCCTTCCTCATCTCACGCTGGGAGATCAGCTGTCGCATGAACTCAGGGTTCTGCATGACTCGAGCCATGAATGCCATCATCTGCTGTTGCTTCTGCTCGGTATCTTGTAATTTCTCTTCCATGGCCTGTAGATCTGATTTAGTATTTTGCTGCTCCTGCCTCAGCTTCACTACTTCAGCCATCAAGAGCTGTTTGTCCCTCTTCAGCTGATCAATCTCTTCTTCATATCCAAAGTGCCCTACCTCAAGGTAAGAGCCAAGAGATTGTTGATTTGGAGATGAATGTGGAGGTTTCCGACGCCTAATATTTTTGAGAAGGTGCCGCTGACCTCTCAGAAACTCCTCATTAGCAAATTCCCATCTGTCAGGATCCACCTTTCTGAAGCCCTGCCAAACCAATAATCCAGTCATCAGAAATATCAGACGCCATTTTTCATTGAGGAAGAATTAACTGCTGAAATCATTTCAGGTTGGATAAAATGCCAAAATGAAGAGGAATCCTATGAAGAACATAAACTATTTATCTTAAATCTATTAGCCAAAATTCTTCTTCAACCTATTATATTATTTTGACGTGACGAATAGAAAACAAGCCCCTCGTCAAAATGCTATACAAGGCGAACTACAGGAAGATCAAAGATAATTTGGAGAATAAGAATTCATTTGGAAATGGTAGGTGATGACCTGCCTGCCTGCAAAATTTGTACAATGCATCTAACAAAGTCGATCAAAGTCAGCAGACCTTCAATATGGTGTCTGTGCAGTACATATATGATCTCAACAACTACTGAAAGAATGAAGTTGGCTGGGGTATGGGAATACCAAGTGCCAGCTTTAAAAGTTTTAGAAGATCAGAAAAACAATTCCAGGCAATAAAAGTTTTAATATTCAAACCAGACCATTGCTGCAGGAAAATAAAGTCACCTCTTAGATTTTTACAGACACACATGCGTTCCAACAACTTGAACTGAGGAAGTGGGGAACAACAAGCACAAAACAATTATGCATTATTTTCTATTATGCAGTCCATGAAAGATCTTAAAACATCAGTAGTTTCTAGATTGTTAGTATTCTTAAGCACTAACAGTATCTGTGGTTTACTTCAATGGCGATAACCAAATTAGTCAAACATACTCTCTTCTGTACAGTTTTTTTTCGCCTAACAATTATGAGAACAATTATTTGGTTGTTTGAGTACATTTTTTGTTTCATAGGTTTTGACCAACTCTTAACTGGTGCCAACCTACTCCTAAGCATAATAAGTTCTTAATCAAAATTCAGCTGGATCCTGAGTACCTTGCTTTGATTACTTCCACACAAAACTTGCAACTTTGCTTTTCCAGTTTCTTATATGCATATACAAAAAAAAAACACATGCTATCATGCTAACAATTAGGATTTTTCATGGCTAGTTACATGCTTTTCTGTGCAACAGAAGGAGCAGCCAATTACCCTGTTATTCAAATATCACCGTTGCGGAATGCTGGCAATTCTCAAACACTAACTGTAATTCACTCCACAAATAAGGAAGTAGGATTTCAGCACACCACATCATAGAACATGGGACCAAAGCACCGATGGAGTTAACAACTTACATAAGTGTTGAGCTGCCGAACGAAGCTGGAGAAGTTGTTGTGCTTGAAGTACCTTGGCAGCAGCACCGTCCAAAATATATGAGGATCCCAAACTATGAAGCTATTGTTGGTGGCGCTCCACGACACAACGGCATCCGTGGTTGGGTCATCAACCATGTCGTACGTCTTGGTAAGGAACGGCGGCGGACCGCCGTCATGGAGCACATCCATCGGCCTAGGCTGGCCATTGGCAGCGCCCACTGACGGTCGGCTCTCCACCTTGACAGAATTCAACATCCCGTTCCCGTGGTTCATGGTAACCCCATCAACAGAGCAAACTTAGAGCCACGCCTCAGCAGGAAGCAGATCTAGGCATCAACGATTTGTAACCCCTTTGGGCTTTGCACCAGACACTGGTTTATATCTAAGCAGGTTGCTATTTCGTACTTGCCAACTGCCAAGCCTCAGATACTACAAGAAGACACGGTTCAGGCGTGACAAAAGCAAAGAAGTATGGGCACAAGAACAAGGTGTGGGGAAGCAGACAGGCGGCGTAATAAACCCACAGCCCTGTGAGGAACGCTTCAGTTCACCCCATCACGACCCGTGCGCACCTAACAGCTGCAGCAGCAGCAGAATCACTCGCGCAGTGGGCAGAAATCAAAGCGCCCGGACATGTGAAGTGCACCAAGAGGAAGACGCTGCGTGACCTCACAGAACCCCTGACGCCGAACCAAAAGAGAAATCTCTTGGAGCAAGCTCATGCACCGATGCCACGGACCAAATCAGGGGGGTCGATTTGATTCCGGCGTGAGAAGGTGGAGCGGAAAGCGCCACGCTTTTGACCCACAGCCCCGCAAAAGAAAACGCAAACGCCCCAAGTCCCCAACCTGAGACCTTCTCCCCTGGAGCGAAACCAGCAGCACGGGCTCCCGCCGCACCGCACGGCGCCACCTGAGACCGAGGTGAGCTCGCCGCGCGCTCAAGTGGCGGGAAGCGGCACCCGCTTTTGGTGAGAGGAAATCAAGGAGGACAAGGGATACGGGAAGAAGCGGTGGTGGGAGTCGAAACGCAAATTGAGGACGGATTCTTCCGCACCTGGAACTGCGAGATTTGGTGGGTAGAGAGAGAGAGAGCTCACAACGAAGACGACGACGTGGCGACACGCGTCAGGCTCAAATGGGCAGACAGCGATGGCGGTTTGGGTCCACTCACCTGGCACGGCCCGCATGTCTGGACCATAGCCACGGCCCGCTTGTCTGCACGATGGGCCTAATGCACACGCTGCATTCGACCCATGTTGCAATTGCCTTCTCTTCGAAGGCACCCGCATCGAGAAGGTCGTTTGGTCTTCTTCCCATCCAATCCAAGTATTCCCAGCCAGCGAACCAGGCACCCGCATCGAGAAGGTCGTTTGGTCTTCTTCCCATCCAATCCAAGTATTCCCAGCCAGCGAACCAAAACCAACTGCTTGTTTGCTTTCCGTCTTCGTCCTCTCTTTGCCCAGTCGTCGGGCGCCCGCGTCGTCGTCTCCGCCGGCCGGCCTGCGAAACCCTAGCGAGGCGAGCGAGCGAGAGACTAGCGGCCATGTTCGGGTTCAGGAAGGTGGACCCGGACCTCGAGGCCGGCGGGTCCTCGCTGCTGTACCCGGGGATGACGGAGAGCCCCGAGCTGCGGTGGGCGTTCGTCCGCAAGATCTACGTCATCCTCGCCGTCCAGCTCGCCATGACGGCCGCCGTCTCCGGCTTCGTCGTCAAGGTGCCCGCCGTCTCCAACTTCTTCGTCTCCTCCAACGCCGGGATGGCGCTCTACATCTTCCTAATCATCCTGCCCTTCATCGGTAAGCCCAGCTATCTCGTCTTTTGGGGGATTTTTTTTTTCCTGTGAGCTGAAATTGGTGTGCAACCTTTTGCGCCGCAGTGCTGTGCCCTCTGCACTACTACCACCAGAAGCATCCGGTCAATCTGCTGCTGCTCGGCCTCTTCACCGTCGCCATCAGCTTCGCCGTCGGCATGACATGCGCATTCACCAGCGGTAATTTGTTCAGTTGTTGCTTGCTCTAAGTCGTGATTAGGTGTGATAGCGTGAATGGTTTGTCTAATTGAGAATCTCAAAATGGTTTCTGAGTTGATTGGTGATTCTAGTGAATGGGAGTTTCTGTTTGCATTAGGATTCCTTTTTTTTAATGCTCCTCTAACCACATTTGTTGGACTAAAATTTGGTATACTTGATCATTCAGAAAATTTTGGCAAGGCAATCGACAGTAAACAAATTCTGTTAACATTAAGGTATGTTCTATTATTTATTTCCAGCGCCACAAACATATAGTTGAGCTGTTGGAGTCCTTTAACACCTTGTCGACATTGATTTCAGCCTACAGAATGTGATGTGCCACAAAACCTGCATAAGTGTAATTCATCTGAAGTATTGTTATGTGCTTAGATTACAGGTTCCAATGTCTTTAGCCGCATATGCTTTTGATCAACCTGCATAAATTTTGAACAAACATGGTACTAGTTGGCCTTGTCCATTATTGTTATGGTAACTACATTTGTTTGTGGCTTAATCTCCAAACTTTAGGCGTAAGCATCTATGTAATCTGCCCATCCAACACAAAGGCATTTGGTACGTTGCCCCATCTGTGGGTTTGATGACTGTTAATTCTTCTTGTTGAGGCCTTGTTGACAGGCGTAAGCCTTGTTGAAAGATTGTCCGGCAGTGGAAACCTTTATTCTTTTCGCCTTTTGTGACAAGAAAACCAATGAGCAAAACCATCATTGGGTTTCTCCTTTTACAAGTTTGTATTTTTGAACTCACAACATCTGGTAGAAGTTGAGGCTTCTTTGGCCTTTTTATTAGAGTTACGTATCCTCTGTTTGTTTCTGCCTCTATAGTTCTTTTGTGGGCATGACATCAAAACTCCACATGGCCATTGTTACGAACTATTTGACAGTCCAAACAAAATTTGTTTAGAAACTAGCTTAGATGAATTTCATGGGACACTTTAAGTACATGGGCATATAAGGTCCTAAACTTTGAATGGTCCTTTGACATATTGCAGAAGTATGCAATGGGATCAGTTCCATTTGTGGCAATTCACTTCATCTACTCACTGGAATTCTGACATGTGTGATTGCAATGTGCTTTGCTGATGTCCCCATTTCGAGCATGTATGGTTTGTATCAACTAGGATTTTGTTCTCTATATGAAGGAACTGATTGGCAGTTTGTTATGTGTGCAGGAAAAATCATTTTGGAGGCTGCCATTCTTACAGCAGTGGTGGTGGTTAGCTTAACTGCTTACACTTTCTGGGCTGCAAAGAGGGGCCATGACTTCAACTTCCTTGGTCCCTTCCTATTTTCTGCTATCATGGTGCTCATGGTGTTTTCACTAATTCAGGTTGGATGGCTCTACTTTGATTCCCATTAAGTATTTATATATCTTTATTAAGATACTTTTTTACTGTGGTGGATGTTGAGTGCATCATCTAATTACTTATTTGCTTATGCTGAGTTGTGCATCATACTAATAGAGATTTTGCTGCACAGATCTTTTTCCCACTGGGCAAGGTATCTGTGATGATATATGGTGGGTTGGCGTCACTTATCTTCTGTGGATACATCATCTATGACACGGACAATATCATCAAGCGCTACACCTACGATGAATACATATGGGCCGCTGTTTCACTCTACCTTGACGTCATCAACCTGTTCCTGTCTCTGCTGCAGCTGCTGAGAGCAGCCGATTGCTGAGCTCGTCAAGCTTTCACTTCGATCTTGTTTTCACGTACATTTGTGTATATCACACACACTGTAATCTCATTGATACTCCAATTTATAATTAGATTCTGTTGGTTCTACCTTAGTTCAAATGTTATGTCTGGCCTAGCGAATAAGGATAATTTTGTGTATGGAACTGCCCAAGAGTCAAGACTGTTTACCAGCTTTCAACAAGACGAAGTGCAGTTGTATTTCTACGCACGATCAAAATAAGAATCCCAGTAAATTGCACTGCGTTTGATCCGATTTTGATTCTATTTTATTTTAATTGGAGGCATTTAAACGCATTCATGGACGTAGATTCTTTGGTTTGCAAATTGGAGTGAATCCGCAGTCCTGTATGCACGTAATTTGATCGTTTGCTATAAAATTTCTCCAAAATTTTGCCTAAAATGCTACTGTTTTGGAAACACTGTGTTCGGTTGACATAAAAGAAACACTGCAGCTGCTTAATTTTACTGTTCACTGCTGAATCTGTGAGAGAAAAACCCTGTTCCGGATGAAAAAAGAAGCGGATCAAGTCGGGTTTGGGGTCAGCCGAACAAGCCCTGAGGCTGATAGATTACTGGACACAGCCGAGCTTCTCATGGTTTTGGCTGGCTCCGTGTTACAGTACCTAGGAGCCGGAGAGTGTTACAGTACCTGAGGGGTTTTGGTTCCGTGCTACAGTACTAGGAGCCGGAGAGTGTTACAGCACTTGAGGAGCCGGAGAAGAAGAAAAAATCATTGGTTTCTTTGGAAGAAGTAATAAGAAATTATTAGTTTCTTTCGGCTTCCGGTTCATTTGAAAATGAAAGAGAAAAGGAACTTCAATGAACATTGCATGGGTTAGCCGGAGTCCCTGAGATCCCTTCCAAATAGGGCCTAAAAATGTTATTACTATTTTGAAAAAACTTAGGCTGAAAGATGACAACCAGTATCCTTGTATGTTGATGACCTCGTCCTGATGCAATACGTTTCTCCAACTGATGATGTGGTGTTGTCACTGCAGGTAGTGGCACGGACGAATTGCTGCAGTGTGTTACGGCCCGTGTTACTCCCGAGATGAATGATTTTTTGTTGAAGGATTTCTCTGATGAGGAAATTAAGCAGGGCTTGGATGGCATCGGAAATTTGAAAGCACCCGGGGAGGATGGTATGCCTGCGCTGTTCTATAAATCTTTTTGAGAGACAATTGGTGAAGATATCACTAGGGAGGTGCGGAGTTTCTTGAGCGGTGGGCCTATGCCGGAGTCTTGGAATGATATGGTGGTGGTACTGATTCCAAAAATTCAGAACCCGGAAAGGCTCAAAGATCTTCGTCCGATCAGTCTTTGCAGTGTTGTGTATAAGATTGCATCGAAGGTATTATCGAACCGCTTAAAGGTCATTTTGCCAGAAATTATTTCGCAAAATCAAAGTGCATTTGTTTTTGGACATTTGATTACTGATAACGTACTGATAGCATATGAGATGAACCATTTTATGCAAAATAAAAGAAGTGGCGAGGATGGATATGCGGCACTGAAATTAGATATGAGCAAAGCTTATGACAGGGTGGAGTGGCCGTTTATGGAGAAGATTATGAGAAGGCTGGGGTTTCATGAGAGATGGACAAGCCTGATTATGAAGTGTATTACAACTATCACTTATCGTATACGGGTGAATGGTGGCTTGACTGAACGAATTGTTCCTACTGGGGGTCTACGGCAGGGGATCCTATATCCCCGTATTTATTCTTGTTGTGTGCGGAAGGTTTTTCATCATTGCTAAAGAACGCCAAGATGAATGGAAATATTCAGGGGGTCTCAATATGTGCAGGAGCTCCTAGCATTACTCACCTTCTGTTCGTTGATGATTCACTGCTTCTCCTAAAAGCAAATGATGAGAATGCAGCACATCTGCGGCATGTTCTACAAATTTATGAGACATGCTCAGGGCAAAAAATAAGGCCTCGTTTAGTTGCCTGGAATTGGCAGTGGCAAAATCACTACGCGGCACTGTAGTGCCATGTAGCATTTCGTTTGTATTTGGTAATAATTGTCCAATCGTTGACTAATTAGGCTCAAAACGTTCGTCTCGCAAAGTACAACCAAACTATGCAATTATTTTTTATTTCGTCAACATTTAGTACTCCATGCATGTACCATAAGTTTGATGTGATGAGAAATCTTCTTTTTACATAGTGACAAAGTTTGGATTTTGGGGTAACTAAACACACCCTAAATAAGGAAATGTCCTCTACTGTGTTCATTAAGAATACCAAGTCATGTGCCAGAAGGAGGTTCATGGAAATTCTTGGCCTCACACAGGAGACACTGAATTCAAGGTATTTGGGGCTGCCAGTATATATGGGGAGATTAAAGAAAACTGTGTTTGCTTATTTAAAGGAGAGAGTCTGGAAACGAATGCAGGGATGGAAGGAGAAATTGCTATCAAAGGCCGGTAAAGAAACACTGATCAAGGCGGTGGCACCATCAATCCCTTCAAATGCCATGTCATGTTTCGATCTTACTAAATCTCTTTGTGATGAGATGAGCGGAATGATATGTGATACTGGGGGGCGCAACAAGACAAGGAGAATAAAATGCATTGGGTCTCTAAAAGCTCTAGTTTAGTTTTGACGAATTGATGAAACTCTAAGTGCTAACCTAATTTATCAAAGTATTTATGAGATAATTAGCACTACTCCAAGTGGTGAAGCAAATGAAGATCATGACTTGATGATGGTGATGCCATGGTGATGATCAAGTGCTTGGACTTGGAAAAGAAGTAAGAGAAAAATAAAAGGCTGAAGGCAAAGGTATAAGTGGTAGGAGCCATTTTGTTTCGGTGATCAAGACACTTAGCGAGTGTGATCACATTTAGGTTTGATTGTCGTACTATTAAGAGGGGTGAATCTCGTATCGAAATACGGTTATCAAAGTGCCACTAGATGCTCTAACTCATTGCATATGCATTTAGGATCTAGTGGAGTGCTAACACACTTGAAAATGTTTTATGAAAATATGCTAACACACATGCACAAAAGGTGATACACATTGTGTTTAGCACTTGGGAGCAAGGGTTCGTAACTTCACCGACGGAGTGTCCGCCCGTAGAGTGCGGATAGTCCGACGGTGCCACCGGCTCCCTGTACAGAAAAGACAGGGTTTCACAAAGTACACCGGACGCTAGCCTCAACTGGACCGGCGCGTCCGGTCAGTGGAAGCAGTGAAGATGCTGGCGTCGGTCTTCGACCGGACGCTGGATCACTTCGTGGCTGGACGCTGGCAGGGTGCGTCCGGTCCCGCTGACGTGGCAGCACAGAGAAGAGGAGAAATGACGCTGATGCTGTGTCCGATCATGATCGACCGAACGCGTTCGATAGCGATGTCGGTGTTTCGGACCGGGGGTCCTCTACCAACTAGTGAATTTGAACTGCGTGCCTCTAATCCCGGATGGTGATGCAAAGAGACACAAGATTTATACTGGTTCAGGCAATCGATGCCCTACGTCCAGTCTGAGAGATTAATCTTGTATTCCTTGCACCGAAGTACTAGTAGTAGGGGGTTACAAGCACAGGGAGAGAGGGAGCTAATCCCAGGTCTCGGCGAGGTGTTGTTGACACAAAATGCGACGCACTGTGCCGCACACACAGCAAGCCGAAAAGCGTGGCTTCAATCGGGTGCCCGGGTGCTTCGTGATCCGGAACGTGCCGGTCGGTTTGACTGAAAAAACCGACAAAGGATAAAACAGTTAAATGTCAAACCGGAACATGTCGGGTGAGACCGAGCAGATTCCGTATATACGGCCCACGAAGCCACTTACAACGACATACAGCTATAGGAAGTCATGCGCCAACAAGTTTATAAATCATTCGGCTAATCGTAGGATGGACATACGTAAAGATCGATTGCCGAATGCATATGCATGGGAAGACATGTTTGAACAAGTGAAATTGATTATGCGTTAATGCATATCCAAGCTCAAACAATCCGGCCGAGTTGGGGTCCATGAAGAAGGAGCGTGTAGATAAACACGATTAAGCCAATCTAAAACAAGGCGTCGCCGCACAGACGACACCTAGTTTCGTCAAAAACTTAAACGTGATTAACATACATGAACCCACAACATGTGACAATCTAGATTAAAATAATTTGGCCATCACGAGCATGTTATCTATTTGCAAAGGTATTATGAAAGTAATGATCATTGAAGCTCGAATAAAACCATAGAAGAGGGCCGAACAATATCAATCTAGATTGGGCAAAAGTGTGTTACAAATATATAAAATATTTAAAACATGCAACACAGGATAACTTGATGAATCTATTTAGATTTTGCCGTAATCTAATAGAGCCGATAAGCATCTTGCTTCCACTAAGCATATTGAGCAAACGCACGCATACGGTATCTACTCATAAACAAAGTATAAGCGAAGACTTCTTGATTGTCAAGCAAAGATCCGCCATACGATCATTGAAAACAAACAAGACTACTTGCATCACGTTTAAATCCACCGCATGATACTAAACATGATAACAAGGTTGTCGGAACTTACGGAGGTCGACGGATCGATGACTCCTCTCGAAGAACTTCGGCGACACGACAAAAGGACTCGAAAGTTGGCACGGGGCCGGTTGTATTGATTTGGTTGTGAACGCCTATTACAATGGTCGAGGGTCAATATTTATACCCTAGACGAAACACGAGTCCTAAAAGACTACGATTTACAAAGGAACTCTTTAAATAAACTTGGAAACTACGATTCCTTGCCCCAAACTCTCAGAGTCCTTTATTATTACAACTTTCATCTTCTCGATCGGCTTTGCTTGCCATCTTCTGCTTTCCCGAATGGAGTTACCGCCTTCCAGAATAACCGACCGCACAAGCATTTAGCCGACCGCTTGCGTTATTTGCCGAACACTCTTCTTCCTGCATGTGGGTCCACCTGTCATCTTCCAGAATTGACCAAAATCCAGTGTTAACACATGCCCCCTCAATTTCGGGAT